GACTCCCTTCACACCTGTGTGCACCCACACATTGCTTGCCCATTTTGCTTTGAATGTTCAGGAGAAAAGGTTGAGTGGGCTTGTGGGTGTCATGCACGAGTGAAAAGGTGGGTCTGACATGAGTAGTGAGACTTTGTTTGTCTTTTTTTGATTGTATTGTCTGCATGGTGTGCAGGTGAGTAGAAAGACTATGTATGAAAGTGAGACAAAATGCTATTTGACAAAACGACGGAGAGTTTCCCCTCCTTACCTTTTTCCTTTCGTCAGTGAGTTGGGCGAACTTGCTTGCTATTTTTAAAGGGTAATCAATGGGTGTTGTAAGAAAAGAAATTTTGAAAACAGAATTTAACTTTTCCCAAGGAAACCCGTTCTATCCCGAACGACCCTCTTATTTGCGCCTATCCGGATGAATCTTTACTCTCACTCTTGACTTTTCTTTTTGTCTAACTTGAAGTTACCCTTTCGCAAGAGGGGACGGGTGATCTGATTCCGGACAAAGTCTGAGGGTTCCCTCTCTCTAGGAAGCATCTGGGGCGGGGGTTCGTTGCTTTAGGAGTCGACCCCGTTATCAACCGAGAGTGGACCATTTTACGGGGGGGTACTTTGTCGATTCAGTGGAGACGATCCGACTTCTGAGATCCAAGTCTTATGCTCGAGCGAGGAGGAGTACCTCCGAGTCAGACCACTTCCTAGAGCGAGAGGCATGCAACACTTCAAGCAATGCACCTGATCAAGAATCATCTGCAAAGCAGTCCGTCATCCAAAAAGACTGGGCAGATGTGGAGATGGGTTTGTCCGTACCTAATCATAGGTCGGTGGTAGGTAAAATGAATAACTTTGGTAGCGCATCTCATCAAGTCAAAACTAAGGTTGTCCGACTACCGTGTCGGCTGCATTTTTATTATTGTTGAAAGTCAACTCCTCGTTGGCGGTTGTTTGATTTTTGTGGAAATTGACCCGGGGTGGTCGAGTTTTATTTTGATCTTGTGTACCTAATGATGATTTTAATTTTTTCGATTATCATTGCAGATGGGATATACATTCTTGTCGACTAAGTACGGTTCCTTTTGGTATAACTATGTGTGATTGTTATAACTTTCTTTTGACTCGTGTTTGAAGGGACCCGGAGGTTTCACACTTGGTTGAGATCATCATTGTCGACCGGCGTACGCTTCGTACTTAGGAGATCAACGCCCTAAGGAATGGACGACGTCCGGGTTCAATAGGCGTTTTAATCGTACATGCCTATACTACAGCGAGCGAGCAAACGCCCTCGGCTGACCCACCTCTGCAACTGCATGTAAAAGCTTTCGCACGTGGGTCAGCAACTCGGTAGGGATACGCCCCTAAGGGTGGTGACATCCCCTTAGGGAAACAAGCTTACTATGCCCCGCGAGAACCTGTCCTGTCGTAGGGGACCGTGGGATGTACAGTTGGCGCACCCGAATGGAGCGGCAAAGGGACGACGCGACCGTGACCGTATCAGCGGTCCGCGGGATTAATTATGCGCCATCCTCGAGTTGTCTCTCTTTGGTTATGTTTTGTTTAAACTCATGCGTGACATGGTCGGGAGGGCTCCCGCCTCTTCGAGAGAAAAGGCAGAGGCCGATGCGCTCGACAACGGGAGCGTTGTGTACGTGTCTGCTATCACGGCGTAAGGGATGCTGTTTTATTATTATTATTATTATTATTATTATTTTATTATTATTATTATTTTATTATTATTATTATTTTATTATTATTATTTTATTATTATTATTATTATTTTATTATTATTTTATTATTATTATTATTATTATTATTCTGTTGTATGGGACAAACACCCTCACTCAAGGCAAGATCACACTAGCACTTCATAGAATGTATATGATAACTATCATGGCGTTAGGAATACTGTTTCTTTTTTATTTTCTTTTTTTTTTTGTCTTCTTTTCGTTTTTCTTTCCTCTTCACTTTCTTCCTTTTTGTTCTCATTTTTCATCGATACTAGAAACAAAAAATGAGATGGTCCTATGCAAACGCCAAGTTCGGCAAAACTCGGTGCATAGTAAGAATCAAGGTCCGAAAAAACAGGTTCGGAGGAAATTATGGTTTAATTAGTTTTTGATTTTTTTTTTTTCCTGAAAAAAACACAACCTTATCTATGGATTCTCAAATTTGCAGATTTTTATGTAAATTCCTCCGATTTGCGTTGCCACTTGTACGCACCCTCGTACGAGTACGGATTCGTACTCTTGTACTCGTACGCTACTCGAACGCTAGGGGGTCCGTCTAAGTTTTTTTTTTTTTTTTTTTTTTAAATCCGGTGTTGTTTTTATTTTATTTATCAAATTCTAATAAGAATCTGAAAATGATGCTCAACCAAATGTTGTTTGTTTTGTGTTGTTGCATCACATATTTGTTTTTCGGATTTTTTTGATGACCTTTTTTTTTTTTTTTTTTTTTTTTTGCTTTTTCGTACGGGGACGTACAAAATGTACAAATTCCCGTATAGTTTCCCGTACAGATCCCGTATAGAAATTACCTGTACGTTTCGGACAGAAAGCCCCCGTACGTGTACTCTATGCAACGTAGCCTCCGAGCACAAAAAATCATCAAAGTTACCTCTTGCAAATTGTGGGACTGGATTCGTCGGTGTCCTCCACCTTAAACAGCCTGCGCGTGTGATTCCTGACAAATCCTCCTCTTCTTACTTTTTTTTTAGGCCCGCTTCCACCTAATGACCAGTCGATCCTTTTTTCAAAAGTCCCGGTTCTACACGAGCTAGTTGCAGGTCATCGAAAAATTTGCCAAGGACCTGTCCATCAAAAATTTTTGCCCCCTAAGAACATACTTGCGTCCTAGTCACCCGCTGTCAAAAATATGACACCTTGACACAGACGTTGAAGCCCACTGTACTGCAGCCTTAGGGCTGCGAATATCAGCACTTTCAACGAGGAGGCATGTCCGTTTGAGGAAACCCAGCCCGTGCTTCAAATATCTATTGTCCATTCCTCTCTAGGGTTGTTCGATCAATAAAGAAACCTATTTGCAACCTTCGTATTTATGCTATGAGGTTTTAGCTCTACCCAATCATCTTTTACCCGAGGTGTTACTTCCTCAGGGTGTTTGATAAACAATCTTCTTCCCTGAATCCAGCAGGAAGCCGTTGGGGATGGTGACTCAATCAAAAAAATATGACTTGCACCTCTTCTTTCCTTCCACCAATAGTCAATTATTATGTTGACCTCCTGTCGTTTGAGAATTTGAAGTCATATGTTCTGTTGTCCTCCATTGGCCATTGCTTTTGTCGCCAAACATGTTTTTTGTTGAAGTCGACCTTACCGCATTGTGACTACCTCTTTTAATTTTTTTTTGTCAGAATGTAGTCCGGATTCATGCGGATTCTGCTTGGTGAGGGCTCACAAAAAATGCACCATTAGAAATAAGATTTCACTCAGCGAGGGATCACAAAAAATGCACCATCATTTGAGATCACAACACTAGATACATTTGCAGGTACGACACATTAGAAGTCAAAAGTCGATGGCTAGTTGAGCACCCGTCAAGAACCACTCCAAATTATGACCTTAACGCAACAGACATCATCTGCAAATTTTTGAGCATCCTCTCCCAACTCCCTGACAACCACATGGATGTTCGAGAGCATGCTGGCTACAAGGAATGAACGTCTCTATCTTAAAAACTTGTTATAGATGCAGAACACAATCATAGACAAGTAGTCATCTCCGGTGGCAATGCGTTGAGTCCCTTAAAATTTAGGAATGGTGGGAATATCAGTGGCAAAATTTTGCACTAGGATCAATTTTCTGGACATAAAATTTTGTATTGGATGGTTTCTTGCCACCACAAACCTCCCAAACCAAGGGCTGGGCTATGTAGCCATGTGTTTTGTTTCAGACAGGGTACTAGCCTATGTTTTGTTTCGATGTTTTCCTTTATTTTCTTAGTTTGTAGGACTTAGTAGACAGGGCATGACGTGGTTTTCGTTGTTTCCATTTTCGTTGTGCGGGTCTTTGAACCCATGTCAACCTTTTGGCTTTGAGCGAACCATGGAACCGGTATCGGGACCGTTGGGTTAACTAGTGCCTATGAGTCGGGTCTGACACAATACCTTTTGTGTAGTATTTAGGTGTGGATGAAACATTTGTCCAGCCTTCAAGACTGATGGACCGGAGCTGTCACTGGTTTTCGGAGATCGACCATAGCGACACACGAAAGTAGGTGAGGGGACGTCTGACTACTGTGGGGTAATTTGGTGGATAACCCCCTGATGAAAACGGCGTGGCAGCCGTTGAAATACAGTCACGGTGTCAGGGGCGCCTTTCCTTTGTTGTACTTCTTCCTATCATGACTCGCTACGACATTTGTTTCTAGTTTAAACTTATTTCGCATGATTGAAGTTTAAACTCTACGATTTCATAGCATTATATAGCGCACGTTAACTTGAACTTACCTTGAGTCAAGTCTGTTGGGCGGAGTGAGCGTGTTAATCGTGTCGTGACAAGTTTGCTTGAAGACGAGAGAGAGAGAGAGAGAGAGAGAGAGAGAGAGAGAGAGAGAGAGAGAGAGAGAGAGAGAGAGAGAGAGAGAGAGAGAGAGAGAGAGANAGAGAGAGAGAGAGAGAGAGAGAGAGAGAGAGAGAGAGAGAGAGAGAGAGAGAGAGAGAGAGAGAGAGAGAGAGAGAGAGAGAGAGAGATTGACAGAGAGAGAGACTGACTCTCCATTTGACTTTCATATCCCGTTACATATGTTGAGGAGTTCTGCCCTAAGTCAGAATAACGAGAGATGAGCAACGTGATGAAACCGCAATACCTGTTGGAAAAGGCGATAATATAAAGCACTATCAACTGCCTACGTGTTTCAACTGCAATGAACCTGGCGGCTATACGAACCAATGTTCGAATCGTGGACGGAGGCAGTATTAGCAGTCAGCATGACCGACGACGTCGACGGATTCGAGGGGCTCACGTTTGCCCAGACGTTATGACTCTCGCATGCGTTACGACTCAACTAATAGAGAGTTAAAATTGAAATCTACCATTGTTAAATTGAGGAAATTTGTGGCATCCATGCAGAAAGTTTTCGACGAACAATGTTTGAAGAAGGAGGAGAAAGCTAGGCGCGAGCAAGAGAAGAAAAAAGCGTTGGAATGTGAGCAAGCTGAAAAGGAACGGCAAAAGGCCAAGAAGTCACGAGCAGAGAAGGTTAGAAGATTAGCCGGAGAAAAGCGAAGAGAAGCGGAGATTGAAGCCGAACGACGTGCGAAGATGAAGAAAAATAAGGACATCCATCTTGCGGTGCGACTTAATAAAATTGAAGATAATTGGTTTGAACGGTTGAATCAAGTCGTGGGACGTTTATACACCACCACGATGGATAAGGGGAAGTGTAAGGTAGTCCACCAGTCGGAGAACAACTCGACCTTCGATGATAGCGAGAAGAGTGATACTAGTATCGCGCAGGAGTTGAACGAACGTACTGGGAGGCTGTGCATATCCGAGAAGCGGAAACGAGGTCAGGAACATGTTTTCAAAGATAGCCCGCCTATGGAGCAGCCGCCAAGGAGAACCCCAAAGAGCGGTATCCTCAAACCAGTTCAATTGAGTACACGAATCACACGATCTAAGTCCAAGAAGGCGACGAGTAGAGCACCGGTCGTAAAAACCTCTGTGAAAACACCCTTCTCAGTAATGAAGACCCCAAAGTTAGCGAAGAAGACTCCGCAGCATGTCCGTGTCTACACTCCAGTGACACGTGGTGCTCTGGAGAGACTACGTTATCGAAATAAAATGATAGACGATCTGAAGCATATGGATGCAGTCGAGCTGCAACGTATTTGCAAAGAGGATGGATACGATTGTCAGTCGATATCGCTGATCACCGAGTGATGGCCAAGTTCGGGAGGATTTCCACCAAAGGCGCCGAGGTCATTAAGCTTGATGCCTTAGAAGTTGTCGATGAGTCAGGAGAGCAACCGCAAGAGGATGAGGCATGAGAATATTTGGAAATACCACAGTTGTGGAAGTTGTGCAAGTATATTACCTATTGTCGTAACCCATCCAATAAATTCGATCGTGACCTGAAGGTTTTACTGTGTCTGTTACTTGGGCTACGACTTACCTTGGATGGAAAGATTCATTAGTTGAATACGTGTGTGAAACCTTGGCCTAGATTGTACGAGTTACACGGACTAGACTCCCTTAATCTGCCTAATTGCATTTACATTGGTGCTTCACCGTACTATAAATCTTTGTATATTGACAAGACGACCAGTGACGTGGTCACTAGATGGTGCGAACACGTTTATGTTTGTATTTCTCGTAATCCCTATCATTTCCATCATCATTGAATAAGTTCTATCGGTCTGGGGAATTATGTACTCACCCTGATCGATATTTTTTATGGCAGAGATTTGGACAAACTCGAACGCTTGTACATTCAACAGTGGTCACATTTCCTGAATATATGAGGAGTCGGAAGGTCGGGTCGCAAAAAAACTAAGCCCGGGAAAAATTAGCGGTCCGTGAAACATGGTTGATCAAGTATTTCCTTACCTCAAGCGTTCACCCCTCTTAAGTTTCGTTTGGATTCTACACAACGTTAGTTCTTGAACTTGTATCGCTTGTTGAACGACCACCTTTCCATTGGGATGAATGCTTTCTTATGCAAGGTACAAAGAGTGATGTTTGGGATGGGGGGTGGAAGAGGATTTGTGAAGCATTCAAGGCGTCCAAGGTGAAGTTTGGTTTCACGTATCTGAGGTTGAAGGATTGTACGTCTTTCTTCAAAGCGGGTGGTCTAGCACATGTGACTTATCTTTGTACGTGGAAACCAAAATGTTGGTACCTTAAGCAATTGTTATTTGGTATTCTTCAAAATCTTAGGAAGTTGTCGAGTTTGAATGGATGGGGTCTGAAGTCGCTGTTACGACTGTATAATGTTGTAAAAGATTTCTCTCGAAAATCTACCTGTAAATACCCGGGATATTTGATATGATTTTTCGTGGGCGGTTTAGTTTGAGTATGAGCGCGGATTCTATTTTTCGTATTAAATTTGATGAACGGTTTAAAGGTTTGGAGTCCAGTAAAGTAATCAATAATTCTTTCATGAAGTGTGATTTGCCTTACTGGTTTCTACAACATACTTGGAAAAAAGTTTGCATTGTTTGGACTATAAATCCATCAATGATGGGGAAATTGCGCACAATCGTCGAGTTTATGTCACTCGTGAAGTACTTACCTGTACTTGTGCAGGTTTTAACCTCTCGTGTGAGGAAGGTCATTGTGTCTGCGTCCACTTAAATGAACTAGAGGGCACACACCCTCTGTTACATAGTGCCAAAAATGTCCCGCGCGCATCGAAGGAGGACTGTATTTCCTCTTTCCAACAGAAGATCCGAGACGGTTTTGACGAGTCCGACCCATATATCCGAAGCTAGTGATGAATGTGTATATGAGCATCAAGTGTTAGATATCAAGCGTTGGTTTAATGAGTTAGTTCTCACTCCTCTGGACAAGAACCCATGGGAAACTGATCCTCGGTCCGTCTATCTTCTTTGAAGGTATGATGTCCACCTTTGTACGAAATACCGGATACCATATTGTGACTATTGCTAAAGATCAAATATTGAGGGAGACTAAGGAGTATGTTGACGTGGCGAGCCAGAGGAAATTTGCCAGATGGGACAAGACCGGGAGTTTTGGTTCAACCTATATCATGCCCAAATTGAGAAGTTTATCAACCCCCCTCTTGCATGTATCTTGTGTGCATACTTCGAGTGTGAATTCATGTGTAACCTTGACAGGTTCTAGTGGTGTATTTTCGGCAACTGACTAATTGATGACATCATGCTAGTCGTCACTACAAAGAGTCAGGAATTACCCCAATGCCTTGAATTTGAAACTTATTGACGATGGTAGCAAGACCTTTGATTTTTTGGGTTGTCAAATTCACACGACAAGGTATTTCCCGTACCTGTCTTGTGTACAGATGTCTAAGAATGAGGACTGTGTATGGTCGCATGGACCGTTGCGGATACAACCGGGGCAGTCCTTTGCATCCTAAGGATGTAAGAGGCAAAAAAGTGCGGTGATCTGCAGTTACCTTCACTTGATTGGCCGCAACACTATAATTTGTTCGGAGATCCCATGCAGAGTTCTCACCTTCCATGTCAAACTTTCTTAAAAAGGTTTCCTGAGTGGTTTTTCATGCACGTCTTTGCCACCATACGTGATGAAGTCTAGCAATTCACGATGAAATTTTTGGAGCAGCAGTTGCTTTCTTTGACTGAACTTGTTTCTTTTTGGTTTGTGTTGTGTTTTCAACTGTGTTTTCGAGGACTACAGTGTAGAACATATTATAAGAGATGTTCAAGGAGGCTGGCTACTTCGATATATGCACGCCAATGGAAGAGAGGTTCTGATCCTTTGTATTCAAATAGAGTTCGTACCAGTACTTTAGATATTCGGACAAGGTACTAGTAGTCTGTGTTTTGATTCGATCTTTTCCTTGAAATTTTTGGTTCGTAGCACTTAGTAGACATGACATGACGTAGTTTTCATTTCTTTCATTGTCGTTGTTACCAGGACAGTTAAGTCTAATAATGCCTATGAGTCAGTTTTGTCTCAGTAGTTTTGTGTAGTATTTTGGTGTTGAGCATTTCTTCAGCCTGACGAACCAATAGTTGTCTCTGATTTCCGTAGACCGGTCTCGAGCGCATCGGCTCCTGCCTTTTCACAAAAGGCAAGAACCCTCCCGACCATGCCACGCAAGAGATTAAAAAAAAAAAAAAACAAAGACAACTTGGGGACTACGTCGAAACAATCTCGCGAACCGCAGAGATGGCCATAGTTGCGTCGTTCCTTCGCCACTCTAGCCGGGTTCGCCAACCGTACTTCTCACGGTCCCCTACGACATAGGTTCTTGCAGGGCACAACTTGCCTTCCCTAAGGATTTGTCACCACCCTTAGAGACGTATACCTACCGAGCTACTGACCCACATGCGAAAGCTTTTACATGCAATCGCATAGGGAAGTCAGCCGAGGGCGTTTTGCCCGTTTCGCTGCAGTACAGGAAACGCTTGGTTAAACGCCGAGTGGACCCGAACGCCGTCCGTCCCCTAGTGTGCTGATCTCCTAAGTACGGAACATACGTTGGTCAACTCGGATGGTCTCAACCAAGAGTGAAACCACGAGTAATCCTAGTCCCTCAAATATAAAACGAAAAACAATATGCCAAGGAATTGGACTTAGTACTTCTAAGCCAAATCAATGACAATTTTCGACAATAAACCCCATGTTATTTCAAAAGTAAAGCAAGATTGGTCAACAATCCAATCGTGTCGGGTTTCGACTCCGGCCATACCGACGGACGAAAGTGGGTGAGGGGACGTATGACTAGTCTGTGGCAGTTTGGTGGATAACCCCCTGATGAAAACGACGTGGCAGCCGTTGAAACGCAGTGTCGGGGACACCTTCCCTTTGTTGTACTTCTTCCTATCATGACTCGCTACGACATTTGCTTCTCGTTTAAACTTCTTTCTCATGATGGACGTTTGAACTCTGTGATTTCATACCTATGTAGCCATGAGAGTAAGGTCAATTATTTGTGCAGTAATATGACAAATGAGAAATTACCATTTTTTTAGAGGCTCCTTCTACTCAGACATTGCCATAAAACACATGGTTCTAGATCGGAGCTATCTGCTGGAGGGAACTATTGGGGGATGCTCTTATCACCTCCAATAATAAACCCAATAGATGTTTAAAAAAAGAAAGAAGGGGTTCTATGCAATGTTAGAGTCATGATCTCCACTAACTCAAGAGGTGCCTGTAGAGCCCTCAACAAAGCTTCAAGCTTAATTTGGTTCAATGGAACTTGGTTCATCATTCACAAGCTACTGATATCCTTCTCAACTGCCACCTTACAGGTTTGCCCATGACTTATGGGCATGAAACCACCTAACTAACCCTCGGGCCTTCTATGATAAAATTTGGAGGATCCCCCCCCCCCCCTCCTCTTTTTCAGACTAGATATGATTTATTCATTATAAAATAGTCAACCAAGGCTTAGAGGTCTGCTTTGTTATCTGTATCCTTCACAATGTAGCAGAGGTAGGCGCAAAATTTTGTTATTTCAACCACTTGATGGGACGCTGGACCCGATTTTTGGCATGGGATTTGCCATTTTCTCAAACTATGTTCATGGGACGCTGGACCCGTCTTCCAACAGGTGTTGCTCACTACCAATAGATTGAAGTCATCAACAGAGACAAAACTTAATCTGGGTGGTGCTCATATCATCCTCATATTTCAGGTTTCGTCATTAAGATGTTTCGCAGGGAAAAAAAAAAAAAAAAAAAAAACACCACGAACTTTCAACCTACAATTCATCCATTTGGTAGGAGTTTTTCGGCACACACGAGTTTGGTGAGGTTTCCACTCATCCAGACTGATGGTCTGGACAAACGTTTTGTTCTTCCTTTATCTTTAGTGAACCTGTTAGGGACATGATTCCTTCGGAATAGAAGGTTGGTGAGGTGGTGCATCAATGCCAAAACTTGGTGAGGTTTTGAGGCCTTGCTGTGTTGGCGAGCACTCAACAACTATACTCACTCTAGGACTGGAAAAAAAAAAAAAAAAAAAAAAACTATGTGGGAGTCACAAAAATAAGTTATAATTGCACTATGGGCCAAGATACAGTTTGCAATTGCACTTCGGGCAGGTAGGGTGTCCCAAGTGCAATTGCGAACTCTTTCTTGGCCCAAACTGCAATTGTAACTTTTTTTTTTTAAAGGACGCATTTCATTACAAATTCTGAATGAACAATGCCGGAGACCTCACAATTCAACCCGTGTGTGTCTTTTGCAGCCTCAACCAGTTGAGCTTAAAGAGTTTTATCTTCAAAATAATTTTTACCTTAAGTTTATCATTTAAGAACCACTAAATCTCAAT